AGCTGATCAACAGCTTCCTCATGTTTGGGAGCGTCCATTATGAATTTTGGCAAACTCCAAATGGTCTTATTTATTTTCCTTTAAAGTTTATTACAAGTTAATCCCATCAAACCCAGCTCTATGCAGTGTGTAGTCTATAATGAACAGATACTTCCATTCTGCAGAAGAACTGCCCAGCTTCAGGATAAATTTTGGTCTCTTGGCATCGTTTTAAAAAATGCCCTCTTTGCCTGGTTTGTGAGTTTCAGTGGATGACCCTTTCTGCAGGATCCCTGTAAAAGCTGTGATTGCTGTCATCTAATAATGGGTTAAATGGTTCTATACATGTACATGGTTTAGGATTTTTTTTTTCTCCTCTCAGCGAGAAGGTTGCCAGATCAAATCCCAGCCTGGGACTTATGTAAGTGAAGTTTTTATATTCTCTCTCTGTGTGCATGGGTTTTCTCCAGGTACTCCAGTTTCCTCCCACAAACCAAAAACATGCATGTTAAGTTCAAGTAAATTGTTCATAGGTTTGAATGGTTGTTGGTGTTGCTACTAAGGAGGGGTGGATACTGGTACATTTGCCACCCACTGTGTAAGGGCCAGGCAGGACATGAAGTGCATTGCCACGTTGCTGTAAACTGAATGCATGTTATATTTTTGACCTATAGTAACGGTTGGGTTGTTCTGACCTCAACCTCAGCTTGTGGTGCTGCTGAGTTCTGCAGGACCGTGGGCCTCTGGTTTAGAAAAGGATTCAGCCTCAGAGCTGGCTCACTGGGACACAAACCAGTTTCTGTTTTCTCTGCAAAGTGAATTAATAGATTTAACTCTTACTGAGGCACTGCCCTTGAGCCATTTCTTAAACATCTTCTGAGCCCCATTCTGCAGCTCTGTAGTACCTGATGTTTGACAAAAACTGTAAATTTTATTGCATCAGTGAGATAACAAAAACAAAAAACAAAAATAAAATACAGTAAGATTGATTGAAAACAAAAATGACAATAATATGAATCGAAAGGACAGAAGCACAGAGACAGAAGGTAAAAATGTGTTTGTCATCTTTAGATTTTTTATTTTTTTGGCCATAATAGATCCTGTCTGGTTTACTTCCCTCCATGCACACCGTTCCCATTACAACCTCCATGTCTGCAGTGAGTCAGACGTCTTATGTGAAGCAGGCCTGTCTATGGAGGCCTGTAGGTAGAGTTTAAAGATAAATACCATGTTTAACAGACCTCAGCATGTTTCTGTGAGCTCCCAGCAAGGCCAATTTGGGGAAATGAAGTTCCCAAAGTTAATTTATGTGCTTGGCATGAGCAGTTATGATGAGTTTACTGCTCACAAAATCATGAGGGAAGAAGAAAATCACCCAGAGAATTAAATAAATAAGTAGAAAATAACAAAATAATAAATAGAATTTCATAGATAAATGTATCTATTTAACCAGACAAATCCCGTTGAGAGATCTCTTTTTAAGAGACGTCTGAAGGCAGCCTATCTGAAGAATTAATTTTTCTACTTTATTAATACTTCAAACTTCCAGACAGAAGGTTGAAGTATTTAGGAAAATTGAAACGTAATGAACTTGGTAATTGTACTGTTAAAACTTGTGCATTACTTATTAAACATGAATGGGAACATTTTAGAAAAAAAATTTAAAGGATGCCTATGAATGATCAGCAAGTGGCCATGTTTTTATTTATTTATTTATTTGACCTATATGATGATATACAATGTACGAAGAGACAATTATTATTAACCTTTATTTAACCAGGCAAATCCCATTGAGATCACAGATCTCTTCTGCAAGGGAGGCCTGGACCTGAAGGCAGCCTAACATGCATGTTTTTGACCTGTGGGAGGAAACTGCAGTACCCTGAGAAAACCCATGCAAGCATGAGAAGAACATACAAACTCCACCCAGAAAGACCCCAGATCCAAATGGGGATTGAACCCAGGACCTTCTTGCTGTGAGGCAAGACTGCTAACCACTGGGCCATCGTGCTGCCGATGCACAATACTACTCCGAGAGGAGTTGCAAAACAATAATTTTGACAAACTAAAAAAAATAACGATGAAGGTGCTTAAATTCTTATTCACTGGCACTTTTATTTGCCTCAATGCAACATTAACTTGAAATTTATTTACCTGTTTAACTTGCATTTAACCAGACAAATTCTGCTGAGATCCCAGATCTCTTTTTTAAACGAGGCCTGGGCCTGAAGGCAGCCTAAACATGCCTGGTGTTCTGAGGGAAGAAACCAGAGTCCCCGGAGAAAACCCAAACACAAGGAGAACATACCAACTCTCACACAGAAAGACCCCAGGCCCAACCCGGCCAGCGAGCTACATTATAACTTTAATAGATTTAGAGCTATTCATGAGTCTGGATCCTGAAACAACAGAAAGCTGTCTGTGTTGGGACTCACAGCGAGCGTCTCTGTAGCAAATGTTTATCTGTTTCTCACCTTCTTGTGGCCCGAAAGCCTTAATTGTTCTCTTAAGTCTAGTGACAGACCTATGAGGTCAGAAGTTTTCAGGCTGCAGCTAAAATCCATCTATAGTCTCTTGTCTTGTAAATAACTCACCACTAACTCAATTTGCATTTAGAAAATTCTTTAGTATGTCTGTTTTTGATCTCCTTGATTTTATTTTTTACAATGGATGATAAACACTCCTGAAAAAACATGGATTAGTTGAAAGTTATGGAGAAGAGGATCTGGAAGTTGTTACACCACAGTTAAACCTTGTTTAGACAGCCGCCCCTATATTGTAACTCCTGCAGCCTGTGACTAATCCAACTCTATAAGCCATGTGTTGGAGCTTAGTGGTATACTCTTGTCTTGGATTCATTTCTTCAGGGCTGTCAGAGCCACTTGGTGTAAAACAGGAGAATATTGTGTTAGACTCTCCTGTCCACTGCAGTGAATCACACAAAGACATTTCATTTTCACCTCACATTCAATCACAAAAAACGTCTCAGCTTTCAGATTTTTTAGGTTATAAACATGCATGTTAATCTAAACTGGTAACTCTAAATTGTCCCTAGGTGAAGGAGAGAGAGTGAATGGTTGTCTCGTTTGTCTCTATGTGTCCCTGTGATGGACTTGTGACCTGTCCAAAGTGTACCACACCTCTCGCAGTGACTGCTGGACATAGGCACCAGTGACCCCTGCGACCCAAAAAGAAAGAAGCGGGTAAAAGATAATGGATGGATGTCATTGCTATAATAAACCTAATACTTTCTAACAGTGTTAGAGCTGACAGGACAGACAACATGCACAGAGAACCTCCTAACCCCCCAGAAGTCCTGTTTATCAGATCAATACCCAGATTCTTCAAGAAATAGATTCAGTTGGACCAAAGTTTTAGTTATAAAACATGTTTGTGTACCTAAATGCTTTCTGTCTTTGGTCTATTATACCGCACACATCGCTCTCCTTTTCTCTGTGTGGTTTTTAGCCATCCTCAAGTGAACGGAGTAACAACAGAGACCCCCTCTGCCACCACCTGGAAAACCCTGAAGAGCTAAGTGGATTGAAAAAGGCAGAGACTGAGTAGAGGAGTCAAAGAGGAAGGGAGGGACGACAGAGGCGATTAGCAGCTAATCCAGTCAACGGACAATCCTGCAGGAGATTTGTTGTTCTTCCAGAACGGTGCAGACAAAACAGTTGCAGGATTACGACGCTTCAGTTTATTGCCCTCATCAAGAACGTGTCAAACTTCTTCACCCAGTGCTTTGAATGTTCTGAATGCCTGAGGACCCACATCTTTGATGCAGGAGAGCCAGCGAACTGAGAACAAAGAGGACAGACCCAGAAGCAGGATGTACCGGTACTAAGGACAGTGTGGTGCCACAGGCATGGATAAACCTTCTTTAGAGGGAGCTGTTGCATGACTGCAGGTTCCTGCTTTTTAACTTGGCCACTGAGAAGTCATCAGACAAGACCAAGGTTGTGAACTGGCCTCACTGAGTAACACAGTAAGTAACCTCAACGAGTTTTGACAATACTTTTTTTGAGCAAGAAATTAATTAAAAATCACTTAAGGCTGTCAAAAGTTAATAAAATGGAAATTATGTAAGGAAAAAAAATTACTGCCAGTGTACACCTTGTGAGATGTTCATAGATTGAACATAAGGGAAGCAAAACCACAGGGGAATTAGCAACATCTCTCAAACATCTATATATTTTTTCCTGGTTTCTGAGCAGAGTAACATTAAAAACTGCTGCACATGCGCTGGTCTTAAAATGCTGTAGTTTACCATAAAAACAGATTGTTTTAGGTGTGTGTAAAAGGGTCAAGCAAAGTCTTGATTCATTAGGGGCTTCCTGGTGAGGTGATCCTCTTATGGCTTCGAGTGAAACACGAGTATAGACTCCTCGTGTCTAAAACAACATAAAATAAAGTGAACTCTGTGTAAACACAAGTCCTTTTTATTGCTTTTGTCCCACAGCTATTTGCCTTTTTTTTTTTAAAGAAAGAAAGAAAACACATTTGAGTGTATTTACACATGCGGTTGGGAGTTATGGATGTCTGGGCAGTCATTCACTGAACCAAATATAGCCAGTACCCAGTCAGCCTCAAACGCTCCAACCATATGGAGCGTGGTAACCAGAGGAAACCACGTATGGCCCTGTAATTTCTTTGTTTTGTCGTGAATTAAAGCTGATGCTGCACTCTTGGGGAGAGTTATATCTCATTGGAAAGATGTGCAGAGAGGAAATAATGAGATGTAAACAGAAACACAGCAGGCTGTTCGTCTCTTCTGACATCCTCCAGGTCAGATCGTGAAAAGAAATTGTGGTGGAGGAAGATCTGGCTGTGACTGTATGAAAAGATTTTACAACCACACATTTCTGTTTTGTGTCCTCACTGTCTAGGCATTTGATTCTTCTCTCTCTCTCTGGTTTTTCAGTGGACCACAAACTGGATTTTAAACTTGACTGACATGCGCTCAGAGTCTGGACGTTCTCGTTAACTCTGAAGGGAAAATACATAACTCTTCTTCCACAATGAGTCTGGGAAAGCTGCCAGGGATTAAAGGCTTCGTGTCTGGCTCTCAGGGGAAACGTCGCTTCAAGAGCGACCTCTCAGTAGACATGATCAGCTCGCCGCTGGGTGACTTCAGACACACGATGCACGTTGGGCGGGGTGGGGACGTGTTTGGTGACACTTCTTTCCTGAGTAACTATGGGGGCAACAAGGAGCCAGGAAGTCCAGACTCAGCAAGCAGCTCCAAATCAATCGGCTTCTTCACGCGCACCTTTCGGCATGTACGGAAGACCTCTGGGCCCCGGCCTCGAGCGGGTTCTCGAGACTTGTCATCCCCACCGCCCAATATCTCACCCATCATTAAAAATGCTGTCTCTCTGCCTCAGCTGAACATAGACTCTGCCAATGGGTGCCTGCAGAGGACACTATCCCCCAACTCAACAGATGATTCCTTCTGCACATATGGTGAGATAATACACATAATCACTCTGTGTGGGATTCATGCAAAGCATCTTAGAAGGAAGATTATCTTCATTACAAGTGAGCAGAGAGTCAGAGGCAGTGATCATACACAAACATGACTCTTTAAGCAGATGATGGAGCATGATCTTCAGTGCAACAGATTTATTCAAACCAAATTAATCAAACCATCCATCAAGCAAGAAAACTGGTAATTATAAATATGAACAGTATGTATAAGGTTGTGCAGAAGTTTGAAACCACCTGTGATTTATTTATACTTTGCTTCCAAGCAGCCAGACATTATTTCTAACTTTTCAGTCTGGTACCATTTGGAGTCTTATAACATTATTAATGAATTTCAGTCTAGCTTCAGATCTGCAGATCTTAGTCTTTACTGACATCATCTGTGCCACTGACAAGTACTGTGTAGGTGCATGTGTTGCGTTATCAAAGGCTTTTGACTCTGTGAACTATAAAATACAAGAAGACAGTCTAAGGAACACAAAACATTCTGAAAGCTGTTTAGCTTGGTTTAATAAGTATTGTTCTGATCATCCTCAGTTAGTGAGGGTGGAGGGTCTGCTGTTTCATTCCCCCGCCCCATCTAATGGTGTCCCACGAGGAAGCATTCTGGAGTCCAGTTTACAAATATATATATATATATATATATATATATATATATATATATATAAAACACTCCTCTTTAGTAAGGGATTGTCATGTGCATATAGGCAAATGATACCATTACCTATGCATGCAGTCCCTCCCTGCCTACTGCTCTGTCTTCACTGTAGGTTAGCTTCAATTCAATGGAACAGGCTTTCACTAGTCTACATTTGGTTTTGAACACAGACAAAGCTAAATGTATGTTTTTTAACAGAAACCTAACACAAGTTGATGACCCTTTAATATTCTTCCTTCAACGGTACTGATATTGATTTTGTTGACAGCTGTAAGTCTCTCAGCATCGGTCTCGATAGCAACCTCACACATGAATCCCACATAATGGGCAGCTGTGGATGAGTGGTTACAGCAATTGCCCTCCAATGGGAGAGTTTGGGGGTTTGATCCCACCACCAGTCACATGCTGAAGTGTCCCTGGGCAAGACACTGAACCCCTCTTTTTTATTATTCATTCAACCTTTATTTATACAGGTTAGTCCCATTGAACCTTTGGGACTCATTTACAAGAGAGACCTGTTTTGAACAAAGAGTGATGACAACAGTAGACAACAAAGACAACAATAGACAATCGTAAAAGAAAGCATACAAATTGATAAGGACAAATGAAAGAAAATGGTATTAAAGGAACAAAACAAAAACAGACAAATTCACTGGTTCCTGTTAATTTACAAAGCCCTCGTTGGAAAAACTCTGTTACCTACAGTCACTTCTTACTATTCACAATCCAAATTGCAGTTTGCATTCTAGAAATACAATCAATCTCATACCTAAAGCACGTACCGGTACATCCTTTGGTCATTCCTCATTCCAGTTCTCTGTTGCAAATGTAACCATCTGCTACAGACAATTCAATTCAATTCAAAAATACTTTATTAATCCCAAAGGGAAATTATTTGTTGTTGTAACTCGTTATCCTCATTTCATTAAGAGATGTTATAGATGCTGATGGCTGTAGACAGGAAGGATCTCTTGTAAAGGTCCATCCCACAGTGGATCCTAAGAAACTGGCTGCAGATGCCGTCTGATCCGTCCACCCAGACTCGACTGGCCTCTCTGTTCCCCCGGGCTGTAGGACCGCCTGAATGCCGAGCAGAGTGATGACCACTCCTCCCAGCAGTCTGCCGAGCTCCTCGTCACTGCGGACAGCCAACTGTAGGTGTCGAGGGACGATCCTGTCCTTCTGCTGTCCTGAGCTGTGTTTCCTGCTAGTTCTAGGATCTCAGTGGTCAGGCTCTCGAGCACAGCTGGCAGGTAGATGAGAATGCGCCCACAGAACATCCTTTTCAACTCATTTGAGATTTGGGGCTGTAGTTGAGATATTATTTGAGCTTTTGAGATGTCAATCAGCTGCCGTTGGTTGTAGAAAACTGCCTTGTTGCCATGGTTACGCATCATAACAAGTGTCCTAAACTAAAAAGTTTCAGTAAAAATCCTTCCAGCTGCACAGCATCTGATACCAGAGGAAACAGTCATCCAAAAATTGTGACTTACATCCAGAAAAAGAGGAATTAAAGTTTCCAAAAGCAAAATCTCAGAATGAAAGTAACAGAGCTGCTCCAACATGCAGCCACCTTGAGCGGCGCAATTCTAGACCTTAAAGCTCTACTCATTTCACTCTCCTCTTTTAAAAGTTCAGTACACTCACTAGTACAAGATCACTGTAGTTTTTTTTAGTTTTACTGTGCCTGTCACTGTTCATATTGTTCACAATGCTTTATGTAGCTTTATTCCGCTTGTGTCATGTCTTCTGCTTTTATCATTGATGTTTTATGTCTTCTTGTGTTTCTGCCTCGTGACCAGGTCATCATTGTAAATGAGAACTGGTTCTCACTTGACCTACCTGGTAAAATATGATCTAGGCCAGATTTTTGGTACGTCATTAGTGAGCACTTCTAAACACACTGGTATTGTTGTTTAACTTTTGACTCCAGTGCGCCTCCTAGATTATTCCAACAGTTATATCTCAGTGAAATATCATCCCATATGTACCATATTTTATGTGTGTGATCAGTGAGCACTTAGACATATTGATATTGTTCTTTAACATTGCACTCAAGTGTGCCCCCTACATTATTCCAACAGTTATATCTCAGTGATACATCATCCCATCCAAACCTGAGTTTTTGTGCTTCATCAGTGAGCACTTGTAGACACATTGGTATTGTTGATTCATGATATAACTTAAGCCCCACCTACTTCAAAAAAACCCAGTCGATTATTGGATGACACTTCCAGCTTTTCACTGTGTTTGATATTAGACTGAAACTTTGTTTGCTAGTTGTTGATTACCACACATGACATGTTGAAAAGCATAAAGGAAATGCTTGTCAAACATTTGCAACAAAAAAGGAAGTCACAATAACTCATGTCTGGAAGGTCAAATTTTGCTTGTAAGACCTGCAGCTGGACAAGTAACGACATGGACAGAAGGCGATGCCGAAGATTTGGGAAATGCACCCCGTGATGAACGCGTGCGGGATTGGTACGAGAGCATTCGTGATGGCAACTGGGTGGACTAGCTGGAGCTCACGCGGTTGCCGTAAGGCCAGAGCGGTGCTTTGCTGCGAGGACCTCCAATGCTGCTTGCAGCTTTAATTATTATTATTATTATTTGTTATTGTTATTATTTGTTATTGTTGTTTTGTATTGGTTGCGTTCTAGAATTGCGCCGCTCAAGGTGGCTGCATGTTGGAGCAGCTCTGTTACTTTCATTCAGAGATTTTGCTTTTGGAAACATTAATTCCTCTTTTTCTGGATGTAAATCACAATTTTTTGGATGATTGTTTCCTCTGGTATCAGATGCTGTGCAGCTGGAAGGAGTTTTACTGAAACTTTTTAAGTTTTGGACATTTGTTATGATGCATAACCATGGCAACAAGGCAGTTTTCTACAACCAACAGAAGCTGATTAACATCTCAAAAGCTCAAATGATATCTCAACTACAGCCCCAAATCTTAAATGAGTTGAAAGGATGTTCTGTGGATGCATTCTCATCTACCTGCCAGCTGTGCTCGAGTGCCTGACCACTGAGATCCTAGAACTAGATTATGGTGTTCCTGTTTTTAACTAGCAGGAAACATGGCTCATGACAGCGGAATGACAGGATCGTCCCTCAGCACCTACAGTTGGCTGTCCACAGCGACGAGGAGCTCGGCAGACTGCTGGGAGGAGTGGCCATCGCTCTGGGAGGAGTTCTGTCTGGCATTCAGGCGGTCCTACAGCCCGGGGGAACCGAGAGAGGCCAGCCGAGTCTGGGTGGACGGATCGGACGGCATCTGCAGCCAGTTTCTTAGGATCCACTGTAGGATGGACCTTTACAAGAGATCCTTCCTGCCTACAGCCATCAGTATCTATAACATCTCTTAATGAAATGAGGATAACGAGTTACAACAACAAATAATTTCCCTTTGTGATTAATAAAGTATTTTTGAATTGAATTGAAGTGGTCTTGGTCAGTAGAACAAAGTTTTTTCAAAGTTTTTTTTCTTTGCACTTCCTGCATTTCCACCCATTTTCAGTGCAGTCTTACCTGACCTTGACTTTATATTGTGCATTGTGTGGTCAAAAGCCTGTAAAACTACACACGTAGAAGGCAAACAGAGTGTCAGACCTAAAAGAAGATGAATACTCTTAAGTCGTCATGTCATGTCTGTAAGAAACAGGGGATTATAAAACATCAAAGACCTGACACACAAGACCTGAGACATGGATCATCCTTCAGCTAATCATTGACTGAATGTCAAGGTTTTAGCTAATAAGAGTTTGTGAAACACATTGTTAGTGTTAAGATCAATTTTATGTCAAACTGTATTATGTCTTCCATCCATCCATCCATCCATCCATCCATCCATTTTTCCTGCTTATCTATGATTGGATTGTGAAGGCAATATGTCCAGAAGGGACATCCCTGTACCAAGCAACATTCTCCAGCTCCTATTTGGGAATCTCTAGATCAGGGCTATTCTACTAAACAGCTCAGGGGGCCACAGTTAATGAAAACCAAGAGCTCAGGGGTTGGACATTCAGCAGATTTTCTCATTAAGTAAGTTTGTTTTACGATTTAAATCTAGTTTTATTTAAAAAGGAACCCATTGGTGGGCTGAACTGAGCACACCCATGGGCCTGATTTGTTCCT